TCTATTACTGGTAAGAGGTCTTACGAATTCGTCGTGGTGGTTCTTATCGTTGTTGTTATCGTAGTTCTTATGTTTGTTTTCGTTATTGTTGTTGTTGCTGGTGGTGTTATCGTTGATGTTGTTGATATATGTTGGCGATTGGTCTCTCGTTTTATTCTCTCCCCCGAAAGTTCCATTGCCATATGTTGATTTTGCAGATATCTCAATGGGAAAGAGAGTGAAGCATCTCGTGGAATCCCACACGGGTGGTTGGAATAAAAGAAAGAGACAGGAAAAGAAGTTGCCGCAGGAAGAAATTGGTGAAGAAAGGAAGCAGGTCGAGAAGAAGAGGAAGACCGACGACCGTGGTTTCATGGAGACAGAGTCCTTTGCTGTTCTCGATTTATCAGAGCCAACGATAAACGCCATTAAGGACATGGGTCATCAGTACATGACTCAGGTGATCAAAACTTTGATGCTGTTGTAGTGTAGCGAAAGATTTTGTGTTTAGTACTTAGCTATGTAGAGCTTGGAAGTTTGTGCTCCCTGACTTGAAAAAATTTATATATTCTGAAGATCCAAGCACAAGCAATTCCACCACTTTTACTCGGCAAGGATGTTCTTGGAGCTGCAAGGACTGGATCGGGGAAAACGCTGTCCTTTTTGATACCGGCTGTTGAGTTGTTGCATCAACTATGTTTTAAGCCGCGCAATGGAACTGGCGATATAGTCATTTGCCCGACTAGGGAATTGGCGAAACAGGTAAACTCTGATTCTTGCAGGCAACCGTGTGAATGTTTTCAAAGAATCCTTAATGAACTGGTATATGACAGATTCATAGGGAAACAGAAAGGCTTCTCAAGTATCACTCTCAGACGCTAGGCTTGGTAATCGGTGGCGTGTCCATAATGCAAGAAGCGAATCATTTGGTCAAAGGAGTAAATATTTTGATTGCAACCCCCGGACGGCTTCTTCACCATCTTCAAAGCACAAAGGGCTTTACCTTTAAAAACCTCAAGGTGTTAACTTGCTTTCAAGGCAAAAACATATTTTTCCTACTATTACAACTAGATTCTTCTCGCATTTTAGGAATCTGAAGATCTTATAGTTCCAACAATGAAAGATAAAGATGCTAAACCTTTTTCTGTTTATGTATGGGATCTGCAGTGCCTTGTCCTTGACGAAGCTGACAGGATTCTGGAGGAAAATTTCGAGAAAGAAATTAATCAAATCATTTCTATTTTGCCAAAGGTATACATAATTGCATTCCGCTGTGGTCTACATTTTGTATATGCACGATTACTTACTGTTTCACTTTTTTCCACAACAACGATGCTACTTGTACAGCAAAGGCAAACAGCTTTTTTCTCTGCCACACAGACCCGAAAGGTACAAATTGTGAAAACTGAATCTTCTTGTTATCCTGTTTTTCCTCTGAGAAAAAAAAAAGTAGAGATAAAAATAAAATCGCATGTTCTGCTACAATTCTAGGTATAATGTCTGATTGCTACGAAATACAAGACAGCTAGATTCCTAATAACTAAACATGCTTATCAATAAGTATTATTTTGTTCGATCAATGTGATCTTTCTTCTTCTTTTGTGGATGAAAATGAGAATGGAATCTTGTTCTTCATAAGAGGCTAAGTTTTTGAATCGTTTCCAAATTTCAGATTGAGGATCTTGCACGCATATCATTTAAGGACAAGCCTATTTTTATCAACGTGGAGGAGAAGAGGAAGAGGGTATGCCTTATTTCTTGATTTCTCGAATACTTGGACAAACCGGTATCTCCTGGCTTTGTATTTGATTGAAATGCTTACTGTCATAGGTCACGAATGAAGGGCTGCAGGAAGGCCATAGCATCGTACCAGCTTCCAAGAAATTCATTCTTCTCTATGCATTCTTAAAGAAGAACGTGTCTAAGAAAGTGATGGTTTTCTTCTCGACATGCAAAGCTGTCAAATACTATTCCGAGCTTCTTAGGTACATTGGGGTTGACTGCCTTGATATTCATGGAAAACTGAATCAGTCCCGACGGGACTCGGCACACAGCAGTTTCTCCAAAGCTGACAAAGGCATCTTGTTATGTACTGATGTAGCTGCCCGTGGCCTTGATATTCCTGTAGTGGTATACGTCTTAACCTTGATAAGATTTTGTCTCTTCATTTTAATCAATCGAATTCCCTATTTTCCTTTTCTCCTTTCCGACACACCTCTCTTTGCTATTTCAGGATTGGGTCGTTCAGTTTGATCCCCCTGCTGAAACTGAGGTTCAATACATTTTGAAAGCAGTTCTTTCCAATCTATACGCGACTTATGATTAAAACTTTTAAGCTGCTAATTTTTTTCAACATCGATAATGTGGCAGAGTTATATCCATAGGGTTGGTCGCACAGCACGTGGGGATGGTGCTAAAGGCAATGCCTTGCTTTTCCTCATTCCCGAAGAGATGCAGTATCTTGGATATCTAAAGGTTCGATTCTCTACATTAAACAATCAGAACGAGAGAAAANAAAAAAAAAAAAAAAGAAAAAAAGAAATTCATTTAACTTGGACGTAAAACTTGCAGGCTGCTAACGTACCTATCAACGAGTATGAATTCAATGAAAAGAAGCTGCCTCACTTGCAGCCAGTACTTGTAAGCATTCCGTTTTCCACGTGCCTATCATCCCTAGTTATGTTCTGGGAGCTTATACGCGTGTGCCTGACAAATGCAGGAAAAGTTGGTGGCCAACAACTACTATCTCAACAGGTCAGCTATTGAAGCATACAAAGCACACATTGAAGCGTACAAGGGACGTTCTGATAAGACCATCTTTGATGTCCATCGACTTGATATTAAGGTAACGTGATATTCATTTACTTATTTACTAGTGTTGATACCCGTGCGATGCATGGGATATGCTATAAATTAATATTTTATTATTCAAATATTGTTAATTTATTTAAGACAACGTGGTAATTATATTCGACTCAATATATGACGTCAATAATAATATAAATTTTGTTTGAATATCTTTTTTAATTTATTTTTACAGGTTTTGACTATTTAATATATAAATCTTACTGTTTCTAAGTTTATAAAATAGTATCAATATCTAGATTTTAAATATGATGTTTGTATATAAATTGCTTACATATACTTTTAAAATTGCTGATTATCTTGATCTTATCACTTTTTCAACAATTCATATTTTGCATATTGCTCGATAGCTAACTAATGTTTTAACCCGTTAAATTTATTTTTCGTTATTATAATTTTAGATGGATAAAATATTAATTGTTTGATAATTAAATTTAAATTTGGGTAACTTTAATCGCGTATGCAACATATTTTTTTTTATAGAAAACTATTTATTGTTATTTTTAATTTTTTCGTCAATATTTATATATTTAATAAATTTATTCAACATATATAATGAGTGTATTAATATCCAATTTAAATGTTTAGATAAATTATTTATTTCAATTATTATCAAATGCTATAATTTTAATTACGATATTTGACTATTATCCTATTTCATTTTTCTTTATTAAATAGTATATAATAAGAAATATACTTTTTACAACTTAATCGTTTTTTTATGTATATAGATATTTCTAATGGAAAACTTATAATTCTTAATTTCACTCGACCATCAAATAATAATTTTATTAATATATTAAGTTTAATTTTCAATATTATATCTAGTAAAATAATATATTCAATAGAGATATACTTTTTAACGGTTACATTGACCATATTTTAGCAAATTTTGTTATTAGTGTAAATTATTCATTAAGTTAATATGATTCAAACACAATTATTCTGATTATTTGTTAGATATATTAAGTGCTTCTGAACGGTTAACATAATTAATAAAATTAAAATCTACAACCATGAAATGATAATATAAGTAGTCAAATCCATATTTCATAATTTGAATAGTTTTTTAATTGTGTCAAAATAATTACTACGAAATTAATATTAGGATCTTATTGAAAATATATGTAATCAATCAGTATTCTATTTAAGTCAATTTATAGCTAATGAATAATTAATGTTCATATATAAAAAATTAGTCAATGAGTAAACAAAAAATAATTAATGTTCATATATAAAATTTGCTAATAGATAAAGGCTAATTATATGTTAAATATAGATGAAAATATTATCCCGTCTAAAACCATGTCAATTACAGTAATAAAGATTGGTCTATTATATAAATATAGATATAGATATAGATTTGTTCGCTACTGTCAGTTGCCAGTTATTTAATGTATCTCCTCGTATGGTTTCTGTTAGGGAGTGGCTGCTGCTTTTGGCCTTTCGTGTCCTCCAAGGGTCAATTTGGACATTAGTACTCGGGCGTCAAAGGTTAGGAAGCTGCCGAGGAAACGAAAACATGCTTTCGACCATGGGAACCCGTATGGAAGACAAGACGTGCAGTTTGTCAGATATTGAAATTGTATGATTAATTTACATAGCTTGCCAATTAAGAATTACTAGGAACATCATATTGTTGCTTTGTCTTTTTATTTTACTTAAAATTATTTTTATTATTAGATTTGATTTAATACTAGAAGATAAGTTTCTTCCATTATTTAACAGAAAATGGTGTATTTTATGATAAAAATAATAAATGTATTGAATAATAAAATATGATATTTAATACTATTAATCAAATTTATCACAAATAAAAAAATAAAAAATATTGTGTTGAAAATCCAAAGTAAAATTAATAATTTTTTTTTTAATAAAATTTTAAATGCTTACGAAATCTATGTCATCTTTGATTTTTTTATTTAATGATACAATCATTATGTTTAAAATAATGATAATTATTATTTTCAACATAAGGTAGTATTTTAATGTATTTCTTTTGCGTCACTATTTGAAAAATAACTCGAGTTTCCTATTATTATCATTTGTAATTATCATAATTTTTTTTTTGTTGTTGATTGAAAGCTAACCCACTATAGTTGAATGTTTCGTTCTCTATTATTTTGACTATGTTCATGTTTGGTAATCAACTGTTAGCGGACTGCATTAGCTGTTTTGACCGGTGGGTTGCGTTAACTGTTTTGACCAGTTGATCATGTTAGAGGTTTGTAAAAAAGTGTTTGGTAAAATTAGTTATTTTAATTAGCTGTTAACATTTAAATTACTTATAAGGACATCAACATACTTTATTTTATGTTGAACTTATAATTATATAGAAAATTAAAACAATTAACATTAACACAACTTGTTAACAAACTGCCGCGCTCTCTCTAAAAACCTAATCCCCAAATTCATTCGCCGCGCTTTCTCAATCTTCTCATCGATCGGCCTTCCCCGGTGATGGCCTGGCTCCGGCCAATGGTAGTCTTCAACTGCTCGCTCCACTCCTGACCTGCGCTCCTCCGATGTGGCTGCGGACGGTCGGATATGGGTGGTCGGTCCTTGGTTGCCGACGGTTGCTCGATCTGTGGCGCGGCTCCTGGTCGGAGAACGGACTGCGATTCATCGACAGGTCCTCGGTTGGAAGTCGTCACCTTCTGATCTGCCTCTGGTCTGCGAATTGAGGATCCCTCTCGAATGGCATCTCCTTTTCCGGTGGCGCTTCGGGTGGAGTTTGGCCTCCAGTAGCCGGCGAATTGCGGTGGTGAGGTGTGTGGGTCTGCTCGTGGGGTGGGGCTTTGGCTGCATCGTGGTGGGGCAAGGCTTCGGCTGGGTCCCACGCCGGGGTTGCCGGAGTTGCGGAATGCGCCTCTCCCTATCTCCCCTGTCGGCTAGTGGTGTTAGGCGGCGGGGGTCCTGGCTCTCCCGAGCTCGGCTAGTGGTGTTAGACGGGTTCGGGGGAGTACTGGTGTGGGGGATGGTTCTTCTTTCTCTTGGTTGGAGACGGGTCGATTCGAGGATTGGTTCGGGGCTTGGTTTCGACTACTGTATAGGCGGCTTGCAGTTTCGGTAGTGGTTTCTCGGGCTTAAAATCTTTCTTGTGTCGATTGTTCAATGTTGGTTGGGTCGGTCAGTTTGCTGGGGGAGGGCTTTGCGTGTTTTTTTGTTTTTTGTAGTCCTTGTTTTGTGACGTATGTGTTGTTTTTGTATTAGTATTTGTGTTTTAGGTTTGGGTCGTTGACCTCGGTTAGTCTGAGTGTAAACTTATTATCTTGTGGGGATCCTACATTCGGACATTATCCTGTGTGGATCGTTTGTAGTTTTTTCGTTTGTTTTGTGTATTGTTTGTGTTTTTGTGTGTGGCCGATCTATTCTAGCATGGCTAGTTCGGTTTCTAGGCGATCTTCGGATTGACCTCCCTGTTTTTTCAGCTGTTAGTTGGGTCATTCAGCTAGGGACTGTAACTTTGCACATTTGTGCGTTTGTTTAATAGTAATCTCTATCGTTCCGGGAAAAAAAAACAATTAACATTGAAAATATTTATTAAAGTGATTTAAATATAATAAAAATATAAATAATAATAAAATAAAAATATATCATGATCGAGTAAATAAATTTACGCCATGTAAACAAAGTCAAAACACCAAGTCATCATTAATTAAAAATATAAATGTGAGTCAAATGCAATATTTATTATTATAATTAAAAAAAACTAAAAGAAAAGATTAAAAAAAAAAACAAATGGATGAACCAAAACTTTTAATGGGGCCTAGAGAAAAATAGGGGCAACCAAGGCATTTATTTTTTTATACAATGAAAAGCGGAAGCAAAATGCAGCGTTTTTTAATTTGGCGGATGGACCCCAAAAAACCATTTGCAACAACTATTTACCAAACACTTTCTTTAGTTGATTAAAAAAGTCAAACAACTAAATGGATGAAAAAGCTCTTTTGAGAGCAAAAAGCTGAAAAACAAATGGGGCGATTGCAAATTCAATTGTATTTGCAAGTATAATATTTCATAATACTTAGCTATATATTTTCTCTCTGAATATAGTGACACAAAAGATATAAAAAATTAAAAATGTCTTTAAAGTCGTAATTATTTCAAAAAGAAAATTTACTTGAAAACTTCTTTAAAGTCTTAATTATTTAAAAACGAAAAATTACCTGAAAATGATTAGGGACAATAACATTCTTGATTGATTAAAGGTACCTATCTATCTATATATATTGTCGTAACATTAGTTGATTGAAGGTACCTATCTATACTGTTCAAAATAAATTATTGTTGCAACTTCTAACATTGTTTTGGGGAAATTATTATTATTATTTTTTTTTTACGAAACGATAGATATATTATAAAAGGGAACAAATGTGCAAAATTACAGTCACCAGCCGAATATAAACAGCCAACAGCTGAATATAAGCAGCTAACACCTGAGAAAACTGGGAGGACAGGTCAAAAGACCGCCTAGAATCGACCCCAACGGGGTAATACTCAACAACGCTAAAAGACACAAAAACAACAGCACAATACAAAGACCCCCACAGGGTAATACCCGAGTGTCGGACCCCTACAGGGTAATAAAAGTGACACTCGGGCGCACAGGGGCCAACTGCCCAAACCAAAAATACAAGACACGCACAACACAAACACTAAAACAGAACACAAGAACACAATTAATCTAAAAATCTAATAGCCCTTCCCCAACGAACGAACAAGTCCGAACCAGCAGTGCACGATCGACACAAGATGGATCCAGACCAAAAACCAGCTACCGAAACTGCAATTAAGCCTATACGGTAGTAGAACCCTAACCCCGAACTAGTCCCCATCGACCCGTCGAAAACCAAGAGAGCCGTAGTCCACCCCACCTCGATTCCATCCGAACTCATCTAACATCACTAGACGAGGCCGATTGAAACCCCTTCACCTAACACCACTAGTCAAACGAGGGATTGAGCGAGAGAAAAACGGCCCTCACCCCGACTGCCACAACAAAGAGCGCCGCAGTAACCGAGATCCGCCCCTCCCGATGACTCGCACTCCACCTGTCACCGCCACTGACATCCAACGACAAACGGCCCGGGCCCCACCAGAAAGGGTGAAGCACCGCCGGAAACAACCAAATCCGACAATCGTTGATAAAGGAGAGAAAGCAGGGCTTACCATCAACAATCGCGGCTCCTCCGGTGACTGAAAAGACTCCAATCGCTGGCCTTACTTCGACCTTAGGTTGCGCCACCGCTGTCCGGAAATCCATCAGCAATCGCGAATCTGAGGCCACCGTCGATGAACCATCTGAGGTGGCAATAGAGGCGCACTTCGCCAGGGAGGGGGCGAACGGTTGAGGACGACCCCTAGACGAGCTTTTCCGTCGCCGAGGAAGGTGGAATCGCCGAAAATTAGGGAAACTACTGCGAGAGATTTGGGGGTTAGGTTTCGTCGCGAGAGATTAACTTCTAACATTGTCATTCATGCATATTTATTTTCAAGACTATCCTAAAAGTAAAAAATAAGTAATTTGATTTTAAATGAATTATAAAATGATGATTATTTCACATTTTACTTTTATCTTAATATTATTTTTATATATTTGTCAATATTATTATAAAGTCCATTTTCGGGCATTTTATAATCAACTCTCCATACCCATTTTCGACTTAAAGTTCACTCTATACCCTTAATTTTCTTCTACTTCACTCCCTCCCACTTACTTTAAAATAATAACCCTCTAATATTCCCACAATACCCTTAGATTGAAAAGTAGTACTAGTTTATATTGAAACCGTACCTCTTTAGTACTATAATCATTTTAGTTTAGAAAAGTAGTACTAGTTTATATTAAAATCATACCTCTTTAATATGACAATAGTACTTGCTTTATTAATTAGGAGTTCCTAGTCTCTTAGTACTTGAGTTCAGTATTAAAATAACGTACCGTACCGACAGATAATACCGGCAGTTGGTACGATACCATTACACACAAAATACCTGACTTACGACAAAATCTGTTGTACCTAGATTATACCGTAAATATCAGAAAATACCGGTCCAAAATACTGGTCAATAAATAGAAACCAAAAGTAAAAAATATTAATTATGTAGAGAGTTATGATGGTTGGAATAAAGTCTTGCAAAAAATGTTACAGAAGAAAATGTCTTGCTTGACAATCAACTTCACATAATAAACTCGTTTTATTGGAAGTGAATTTCGAGATATATGATATACCATTTGAAAGACNCCGGAATAAAAATTGTAGTTGTAATCTAGACTTTCGGTAATTGATGTGTTCTCTAACGCCGTAAGATAATATAAAACGGGAATGTATATTCATTACTTGGTTATTTGATTTACCAAGGGTGATTTCTATTCCGTTAGGATGACATACTCGGTACTTTGGTAAGTAAGAGTGTTTATATGATGTGTTGTTATAAATTATTTATGGTCACTATGTCCGAGTGGATTGATGACGTCCCCGAAATGAGCTCAGTACCGAATATTATGTCAAACCCTGCAGATGGATGTGTATCCGACATAATGGTTAAAGATATGAGTGGTACTAGTTTCGAAGATGAATAAGAAGTTGATTAATTATTTTGTCAGTAATTTAATTAATCAGCGGATCAGCGGACGTTATATCTTAAACACAAGTAGGAAAATCAGTCAGTTAGATTAATATTAATTAATCAAGTGGAGGTTCGAATTCATTGAATAAATTGGAGCTAAATGGGGAGAGCAATAATACTACTCTAGTTAAAAATTTTATTATTTAATTCTACGTAGAAATTAGAAATTAATTATTTTCCATTATATAATTCCCTAAGGAAAAGAACATTCCTTCTAGAATAGTACATAACTATGGAAACTTCTAGAAGGTAATTAGGGTTAGAAGAAATATTATCCTACATGGGAAAAGATATTGAACATAATTAGGTTTTCTAAACCTTATATGATAAGCCCATATTTAGCACCTCCTTAAAGTCCCTAATGTAGCCTATAAATACACCATGTCTTGAACTCTTCCCCTACGCATAATCACATGTACGATTTAAGGATTCCAACGGGAAAAGGAAAATTGAGTGTTCTATATATTGAGAATTCGAGAGATCCGGAAAATCGCGCACCGAGATTTTTCGAAATAGGTGTTTAGGGAATACATTAGAAGACGTTAAGGTACAATAAATTGACCCTTTTATTTGTGAATATTTCGGCCACACTCAATCGCCGTCCGCCGCCGCCTATCGTTGCAAGAAGTCTGTCCGTGCCCAGCTGCACGCCGCCAGGCGCAGTCGCACAATCCCAGCGACGACATCGCATGCCCGCCTGCTCGCGCGCCACCGCAAGCCCCAATTACGATCGACGCTCGGACGCCGTAGCCCGAGATCCTCGTGCCCGCTGGCCTGCGCGTGTCGACAGCCGCCCGCGTCTCTCGCCCGAGAACCTAACAGCTATCAGTTTCAAGAGACCGTGGCAACAAATAGAACAGGAGGCTAATGGCAAGAATTTCTAGGGTTCTTCGACAATTACAAAGGGGATCGATGGCATTGAAGAAAGAAATTTCGGTTGGTCAAGGGTTTTTAATTTGGATTTGAAGAGAAAAATCTAGGTTTAGGTATTGATTTGTGAATTTGGGATTTAATAGCATTTAAAACAAATGAATTTTGAATTTAAATTCACCTAAGACGAAGTCGCCCGCTGTTGAAGTGGTCATTTTTATGACAACAAATGCCACTTCAATTAACTTGTCCGACAAGTTGGAATTGGTTCGCCAGAGAGAGTCAATGCTTCGTTTTAAAATACAAAAAAGAAAAATAAAAAAAGGTTATATAGCGAAGTGTCAAGGTCCAAAAGTCGTGACAGAAACATAAAAGTCGGAAAGGACTTGATCAGGGTCGGCTCTTTGGGGAGTCAACCTAGGCCTCCATATATTTGGGACCCTATTTTTTTTCAATATTATGTACTACACGGGTGTTGAATTAGAAAATTTTGTAAATTTTTTTATTTTTTTTTTTAAATACTAAAATAATTTAATTTTATGTAAAATATTACTTTGGGTTTTAATTAAATTGTCAAATTATTTTTTTTTAATTATAATATTTAAACACCCGTACATTAAATAAAAATTTCAATCCGTGTTGAATTTTTTTTACTTATATCATATAAAAATATCGATATTATTTACTATTACATAAGTACAAAAATATATATCTTAAATAAACAGAAATAATATGGTGATATGTATATGCATAAGTGTATAATATGTTTATTTAATATTAAACAAAATAAATTAATTTTTTTACTTAATTAGATGCCTAATACATCAAGTGTCGTACCAGTCGTGCTTCACAATTTTTTAACTTTATATGTAATTTTAGAATTTATATAAATAATTATTTATTTTTATAACATACCAATTAGATTTGAAATAAATATCATTTTTAAAGGAATACATACCAATTTCTATTACTTTATAATATAATTTATAGTTGTATTTGATATAATTTAATTTAGTATGATAAATAAATTTTAATTTTATTTATAAGGATATATATTACTGTTTTATATTATATATATATAAATAAATAGTAAAATACAAACGTACTTCATAATATCAATTCAAATGCAACACGTTAATTATGATTTTTTTTTTCTTGACAATATTAATCCTATTTAATGGATGTTATGGGAAACGATGGAGATGAGATATGAAGAGACATTGTATATTAGATGGAGGGTTAAAAATATAAAAACATGAACAAAATATCTAAAACGACATTTATTTCATCAATGATCAATTAAGCCAAAATGACAAATAATAAAAATAGGAAGGAGTATATATTATTATATATTTTAGTATGACACATGTTACTTGAGCGACTTATATGTGTTATATTATAATAAATTTTCTACCTTATAACATATAACTATATTAAACATAAATATATTAATTGATAATAATTTTATTTTCTAATTAATTTTAATAAATAATTTTTTTATTATTATAATGATAAATATAATTTATTTATTTTATATATACAATATGGATGTCAAATCGAAGCTCATCAAAAGATGATTAATTTGATATATTATATATGTAAAAGCGATAAGAAATACAAAAGTTATCAACTTTTAAAATATATTTTCAATTCAATGGTTATAATAGAAAATTATATTAAAATATAATTAATATAAATATTAATTTATATCCAAGCCTAACTTTAAAACATGATTTTTTTCCAAATATGATTCCGAAGCATGAGAGTTTGTCACGTAGGCTCAGCGCATTCTGAAATTATACATAGAGGGGATTTGTGTTGAGTTTGGCCTATTTACACAAATAAAAGGGATAATGACTAAATATGGATTTTGTCCATTACACAATTGAAGGAGCTAATTAATGAATGGGTTAATGGCAAAATATGTACTTTTTGTGGGAATTTGAGGCTCTAAATGTTTCATTTGTTTTTATGTAATGTTTGGTCAGAACAGTTGTGTGAGAATAAATATTCTTTGCAGTGATTTGATTTTTATTTTCTTCTCCTTGTTGTCCTCGTGACTGCTTGAATGTAATTTATTAAAGATCGTTGTGGGTAATTTATCAATTCCAAAGTCTTGAAAAAAAGAAAAATTAATTTTTTTTCAATTGTTTATTTATTTAATAGTCTTGTTTAATTAGATTTTTTTTCCTTCTATTGAGAAATTTGAAAAGGACAAACTTGTATGAGACTTCCAAATTTCTGGAGACTGACCCTGGTCGTGGTACCATATGCAATTTTGCCTTAAAAAATGATTTATCGCATGTCGCTTCAAGATTTTGCAGAAGATTAACCACCCTTTTATGTAAAACTTACATTTTCCCGATGTTTTCATTAACACCATTACTTTCTAAATTTCGACTAAATATCAATCATTTTCAAGAACATATTATTTGCACTTTCACTAGAAACTACTTACCAACACTACAAAAGGATAAAATAAAACAGAAGTCAGTGTCTTCACTGATTAAGTCAGTGTCTATCACAATGCAAAGCCACGCTTTATTACATATCAGGTACATTTAGTTCTCCATCCTCTGATTAATTTCCCAAGGTTGTAAATCTGTTAGCACAATATATACTATCCCATTAATTAGTACTCCCATTCACTTCACAATTGTCCTATCGTTCACAAATTAATCAGAAGTCACTTAACGCTCTTATGGACACGTGTAAGAATTTGCTTGGTCGAAAGTCGAAACACATCACGTACGAGTCAACCTATCTCTTGCGCTTGGACTTTAGAGAAGAAGCCGATTCTGAGTTGGCGTGCCAGTTCCTCTTCCTTTGGTTGATGAACCAATTGTTTATCTGCTTAAGCTGCAAACCCGTTTGCTCGACCAGCCTTGCCTTATCGTCCTCCTGCACAAACCACAAACAAGTGTACATTACGACTTAGCCGTGGCTAATTATTTGGTAGCCTAAATTATATTTTTAGTCCTACAGATTTAATTTACGTCATAGCAATTTCAGTCCCAAGGTTACAACATTTTGCCTGTGATTTAATATTTTGTTTCAATTTCAGTTTTTTGAGGACTGAAATTGCAATAAATTTTCAAATTTATAGATTTTTTATTAACAATTTAAATCCTATAATTTAAACTTTTATTGCAATTTCAATACTGTAATTTAAAGTTATGTTGCAATTTCAGTCCTCAAATAACTGAAATTGCAGCAAAATATTAAATCACATGACAAAAAAACAAAAAGTTGGAACATTGGAAACAATATTGCAATGATGTAAACCAAGAGGACTAAAAATGCATTTTTGCCTTATTTGGTATTATGAATAGTTACGTAAACTATTGTGCATGCATGGGCTTATTCTTTTCGGAAGATAAATTTGATCTGACGATACATACTGTCGGATAAGGCCACTTAGCGTGCTGCTGCCACCAGTTTTTCAGGATGGTGGTCGTGTCGCCTGGTAATTTCCCGGCCCTTCTTTTTCTCAGTATTTCCTCCCTCACATCTTCGATTCTCGACTTGAATCCCTACAACATAAACGAGAAAAAGGTATAATAAACCTCTGATTTCATTATTTTTTTTTTAAAAAAAATTAATTTAGAATTCGCATAAAACCATTTTATTGTTTTTTGGACCTGTTTGAGCTCGATCTTGAGTTCCTGTCTCACTCGCTCCATTAAAGACCTCTCGGATTCGGTCGGGAGCAGAGGGCCGAATCCCATGAGGTCATGCCCCTCGGCTCCCGATTGGTCTAACGACAAATCCATTTGGAGCTCATCTTCATCATCTGACATTGTTCCTCCACTTGCTTCACCGAGTGTTGCCCCTAATCATTCAGTACGTAGTTAACGTGTTAAACACGTCTAGAACACTTCCAATTTCGAATTTTCATAGGTAATATGTAGATTCTAAATACAGGGACGGATAAATTGCTGTAGATGGAAATCGTTCTCAACTTATTGATCCGAAAGCGAGTGATGATCATAACAAGTATAAATAGATGCTTGCGACATCGAATTAATTGAATTCTGCCATGGTTCTGGGTCAATTAGGTTGGTCAACTGTCTGGATCAATAGTTCCTCTTCAAAAAAAAAAAAAAAGTACCGAACACATGATTCTGCCATGTTTGAATTCTCATTCAAAAGGGTTTCGACCAACCATCGAGAAATAGTGTTTATACTGTATCAATTTGAAGCTTGGTATATTGTTCGTCTCGTGCATTACACGGGTGAGGATACTAGTAAAAGTATAAATAGATGCTCGCAACATCGTCAAATTAATGAAAATATCATTTAACACAAATTTATAAAATATATACAGTAAGTTGAGGCAAATGACAAACTTAACCAGTATTTTCTTCAATTTAGAAAATACACACTAATTAGTACAAATCGAGCAAAATATGCATAAAATTGCAAAGTTTTAACAAACTTTTCCCTTAAATAATTATAAAAAGTTGCTTAAAAAATACTTATTAACGCATGTATTTGGCAAAATCTTCACAATTTGATTGGTAAGTGTCACAAATTATTAATCAAAATTGCCATCTGATTTAAGTTACTCAGTGTTCCAAAAAATCAGGTTAGGCGCCCGCCTAAGTATCGTTTAGGCGCTAGACGGCACCTGGGTGCTCCAATTTTCGTCTAAGCAGCCCTTTTAAGTGCGTTTAGACGCCTAAAATAATTAAGCGACCTAGACCGTCCCAGCACCTAGAATTTTTATTTTTAGTTTTTTTTTGTATTTTTCTTAATTTCTTTTCAAAATGTAATAAAAAAAAGATTTTACAAAATCAAAATAAGTTAGTTAATCTAATCCCAAATTAGATTTCTAAGCGTTAGGCCCAGGCCAGACCCGGCCCGCCAAGCAAGCCTCTAGCACCTTATGAAACCTTGCACTTGATACAACCTCAATAATGAATCGCTATTTTCTTGGTCAATTAATTGTCTCTTAATTAATTCTATCAACTAACTCAACTAGAAATGCTCTCCTAACTCCATTAACTACTCACCCGTGGGCCCCACTCCAACCACCTCTTGTTGTACAGTCAGACTATAACTCATCCCTCTCAAAGTCCCTTTTCCTCAACCTCCTCAACAAAATCCACCTATTTATCTAATCGGTTTTGTTATGAATCCAACAGTTGCGTCCATAGTGGAGCCAACCTTCTATATACAACAAATAAACTTACCATATTAATAAAATTATATTAGTGATATTTAAGGTATCAGAGAAATCATATTAATTGATACTCAACCAAATTGGGTTTAAATTGTGCTATTAGATGTTATGTTTTGTCATACAATTAATTGCAAATACTTGTAAACATGAACACAATAATATGATTTTTTTGAAGTAATTGTTGGTTATAAATAAGAGTAAAAATTTTGTAATAGGGTCCCATAATTAAATATCACTACTATTAATTACCAATTAAAAGATAATATAATATGATCTTGTGTAAGTTTCTTTTCTTGTCCTCTTTCAAGTTTCAACAGATTTTAATGAGATGGCCTGCAAATTTGTCCTACTACTGCAATAGAGACAAATAAAATTATTAAATGGTACCTGTGAGAGAGTGTAGAGTCTGCTCAATTTCACGGCAGGCCATGACAGCCTCAACAGCATGGACTCTGACATGTTGTTGCAGTTCCTCTCTAAACGAACATAAAACTAACAAGTAATTTCCCTGTTTCACAACGTTATAAATATACATATATTAGTTAATATTGTCCATAAATTCATAGGCATATAATATATATAATCAAAATTACAATTCAGGGGGCAATTATTGGATATACTTTCGGTTACATAGTTTTTTGTTGGTAACTTTTTTTAATTTTAAGTGATATGATATAGAGTACAATGTTCCCGATATATATAATAA